GCAACCACCACGGCAGCATGCAGGGCGGCCACTACACGGGTGAGCGCGGGGGGGGGCGCAGGGGTGGGGGGGTGTTGTTGGGCCATGGCGTGGATTTGGGGGGGGGTACTGCAAAGGAGGGGTGTGCCGTGGGACTTGGGGACGCTGCGGGGGGCTGCTGGGGGGGCACAGCCTGGAGGTGGGGGGCACTGCAGGGGGAGTGCCGTGGGGCAAGGTGTGGGTTTGGGGGGGGGGGCATTGCAGGGGGGTGTGCCATGGAACTTGGGGACACTGTGAGGGGTTGCTGGGGGGGCATTTCAGGGGGAGTGCCGTGGGGCATGGTGTGGATTTTGGGGGGGCACTGTGGGGGGGGTGCTGTGGGGCATGGTGTGGATTTGGGGGGGGGGACTGCAGCAGGGGGGTGCCATGGAACTTGGGGATGCTGCGGGGGGTTGCTGGGGGGGCACAGCATGGAGCTGGGGGGCACTGCAGGGGGAGTGCCGTGGGACAAGGTGTGGGTTTAGGGGGGCACTGCAAGGGTGGGGTGCTGTGGGGCATGGTGTAGATTTGGGGGAGGGCACTGCAAGGGGGGGTGTGCCATGGGGCAAGGTGTGGGGCTGGGGCACACGACGTGGGGTTTGAGGTGGCACTGCTGAGGGTGTGTGCTGTGGGGCACAGCGTGGGGCTTGGGGGGGCACAACATGGGGTTATGGGGGCACCTCAAGGGGGGGGATATGCGATGGGGCACAGGGTGGGTTTGGGAGGGGGGGGGAGCTCAGGGGTGTGCTGTGGGGGCACGGCATGGAGTTGGGGGGCACCTCAGGGGGATGTGCTGTGGGGCACAGGGAGGGTTTGGGGGGGGGGGAGCTCAGGGGTGTGCTGTGGGGGCACGGCATGGAGTTGGGGGGCACCTCAGGGGGATGTGCTGTGGGGCACAGGGTGGGTTTGGGAGGGGGGGGGAGCTCAGGGGTGTGCTGTGGGGGCACGGCATGGAGTTGAGGGGCACCTCGGGGGGCATACCCCCCCCCCCCCCCACCCCAGCAGCAGCCTCCATCCCCAGGCTCATGCTCCCCGCTGCACCCCGAGACTGGGGGCGGCCGGGTCAGAGCCCACGCGTCCCCCCTCACCCTTTGCATCCCGCCCCCCCTCCCCGGTCACCCCCAGCCTACTGCTGCAACGCCCTGGACGGGCGGTGGTACAGCTACGACGACAGCCGGGTGGAGGGGGTGCGGGAGGCCGAGGTCAGCACCCACAGCGCCTACATCCTCTTCTACCAGCGCCGCGACGCCGTGCCCGCCTGGTCGGCCGGCGGCTCCGTCAGGGGTGAGCACCCCCTCCTCCCTGCCTGCCCCCCCGACAGCGCCCGGGCCCCCCCAGCTCCCCACCCCGGGCGCGCCTGGCCTGGCCGAGCGCACCCCTGGGCAGCGCAGGGCCCCCCCCCCCTCGCCGCCGCCGCTCAGCACCCCTGGGTGCTCCCCGCAGGCTCCGTGGCCTCCTCGCTCTCCGACCACTGGCTGGCCCGCCTGGGCACACGGGACACCGTGGCCACCCAGCCCTCCCCACCCAGCACCCCCGCCGCCCCGGAGAAAGGTGATGCTGAGCACCCCCTCCCCACCCCAGCACCCCGGGGCGCCTCTCAGATCCTCCCGCTTCTTCATTTTTTTTTTTTTTTAATTGCAGGTGGCTTCGAGGCCAGACCCTTGGTGCGGGGCGTCCAGGGCCGCAGCCTCAGCGTTAAGCTCTCGCCGGCCGGTGGCCCCCCCGGGGCCGTGCCCCCGCGCTGGTCCTTCGCTTGCAAGGATCGGGCCCGGCCGGGGGTCCCGGGGGAGCTGGTGGCTTACCTGAAGTCGGGGCGCCGGCCCCGCTGCACCCGCCGCTCCCTCCTCCCGCTCAGCACCGGTGGGGAGAGCGGCCCCGACACCCCCCCGGCCCCCAGCCCCGTGCCAACCGGCCCCCCGAAACAGCCTAGCAAGGGGCAGGAGGAGCCAGGCACCCCCCGAGCCCCCCGGCAGCCCTTCCGTGTGCCCACGCTGCGGCGAGCCGCCAGCGCCGGCGCCGAGGGGTCCCTCTGCCTGCCCCCCAAAAGCCAGAGCAGCCCGGGGCGGAGTGGGGAGGGGCCGGGGGGGCTCCTCCGCCCTGGGCTGCCACGGCCGGAGGGGGACACGGGGGTCCCCCCGGCACGGCTGGCCCCTGACCCCACGGCCATGGCACGCTCGCAGAGCTCAGCCAGCCTGCCCCCGCGCCCCAAGGGGGGCCTGCAGCGTTCGGCCTCGCTGGGCAGGGGTCCGGGGGGGCCCATCCTGCCCACTCGGGGTCCCCCCCCCGGGGCCACGCTACAGCGGGGACGGCAGCCCACGGCCTCGCTGTGCAGCCCGACCGTGCCGGAGTCCAGCTTCTGAGCTACGGCCGGTGAGCATCCCCGCCCCCCCCCCCCCCCCCACCTCCTCAGGGCAGCCTGAACTGGGGGGGGTCCGAGCTGGGGGGGTCCCAAACTGGGAGTGTCTCAACCGCAGGGCTGATCCCAGACAAAGCAGGGTCATCCTGAACCAGGAACATCCCAAAGCAGGGCATCCTGACCCGGGGGCTCCTGTTCCCAAAGCAGGGCATCCGCAAACCGGAGCATTCGGGTGTCCTGAAGCTGGGTCATCCCAAACCAGGGGCTCCTGAACCGGGGGCTTCCCAAACCGGGAGCGCCCCGAACCAGAGGCTCCTAAATCAGGGCACCCCAAACCGAGGGCATCCCAAACCGGTCGTTCTGAAACCAGGAGCATCCCAAGCCGGGGGCGTCCCGGCCTGGGGCATCGCCCGCTCGCCCCTTCCCAGGGAGCGGGCAGGCGGGTGGGCACGGGCTCCGCCAGCTCTAAGATGTGAGAGTATTTATTGTACCAGGAGAGTTTTATTCAGAGACGCTTTTTGTTTTCTAAAAGGCGACTATTTTGGGGGGGGGGGGGGGGGGGGGGGGGGGGGCGGGCGGGTCCCCCACACCAAGGTCTATGCAATACGCGATTCCTCCAGCCAGCTTTTGTACGCGGGGGCTGCAGCCCCACCGCCGGCGGTTTCTATTAAAGACACGTGAAATGAGGCGGGTGCTGTGCCTGGGGGGCAGCGCCCGTCCCGGGGGTGGGAAGGGCTTCGTGGCCCATCCGTGGTGGTGCTGGTGCTGTGGGATCAGCCTGGGAGTGGGGTTTGGTGGTGGTGGGGGAATCAGTGGTGCCAGAGTCACGGTGCCGTGGGGCTGTGCCCGCCGGGGCAGAGGAAAGGGCTGGCTGGAGAAACTTGGTGTGGCCACAACGGGGGCCAGGGACAGAGGTGGAGATTTGGAGAAGGTGAAGGTGGAGGAGACTGGTGGAGGAGGTGGGATGAGGAGAGGGAGGGGGGTGTGGGATTGGGGTGGAAGTGGAGGAGGCAGAGGTGGTGATGGAAGAGACAGGGACAGAAATGGAGGTAGAAGTGGAGGAGGTGAAGGTGGAGCTGGAAGTGGATACGGGGTTGGGGGGGAGGAGGACGTGAAGATGGAGGAGACTGTCCCTTGCTGGAGGGCTGCTCCGGGGTAAGGCCCTTGCTGTGACCCTGCGTTGCAGCAGGGGACAAATGTGGATTTGTCACCGATTTGTCACCCAGGCAAGCAGCAGTGCTGGGCATGGTAGGTTCATCAGGGCACCCATGGGTGCTGGCAGTGGCAGGGGCAGGGCTCCTGCTTCTTGGCACCCCACAACTGCAGCTGGGGGGGGGGTGGGGGGGTGGGAGCCCCAATATGAGTGGCCATCCCTGTGCCAGGCCTCGGGGACCCCATGCCCACCTCCCTTGCAAGGACCCTGCCTTGGGACCATGGTTGGGGTGCAGGTGTGCTGCAGGGACCCTAGGGATGTGCCACCCCAGCACCCTGAGGTGGCCCCTCTGCCTGGGGGCCCCTGAGGCTGGGGGGCTGCTGCGCCCTGAGGCGCTCGGTGCCCCCACCCTTGGGTGCTGCCGTGCCTCAGGGGGGGTCTGCGTGGCTGGGGCTGACGCTTGGCACCCGCCCCCCACTGCAGAGCTGCATGGGTGGCAATCCCCACAACGGTCCCCGCCATCCCACGGGGAATGGGGTGAAGGATGTGGCATGGCCAGGCTGGGGGACCCCCAGTGACAGCACCGTGCCGTCCCCAGCACCCACATCTGCCCGCAGGGTGACAGCCCAGAGGTGCTTCTGTGCCTTCCCAGAGCATCCCCCCCCCCCCCCCCATGCACCGGGGACATGCCCCTCCATAGCCTGCAAAGTGGGGGCCTGCTCCCCGCCCCGCCGGGCTTGGGGGGGCCCCTGGTGCCCTCCAGCCCCCATCGCTGCCCACCCTCCACCCTGACACTGCCCTCCGCACACACGCTGCTCGGCTCCAAACTCCGGCTACTGGGTGGGTGCCCACCCCAGGACTGGGACCACCCCAAGCCCGAGGCTCCCCCGCCCCATGGGACCAGGACCAGGACAGCCTGCATAAAGCACAAAACCATCAGTTTATCACCCAAACCCTCATTAAACCCCATTTCCTACAGCTAAGCACCCTCCAAGAGTCCTCCGTGTCCTAAATCCATCAGGGGCCGCCAACCCGGTGCTGGGATCACCCCAAATCTGGGCTGGGACCGCTCCAAGCCTGGTGCTGCCCTATCCCGTAGGACCAAGACCACAACAGCCTGCACAGAGCAAACCCCATCATTTTATCACCCCGACCCTCATGAAACCCCACTTCCTACAGCAAAGCGTCCTCTGAAACCTCGTGTCCACCAGTGGGCACCAAGCCGGGCTGGGACCACCCCAAATCTGCACTGGGACCAGCCCAAAATCCAGGCTGGGACCACCACAAGCCTGCTGCTGTCCCATCCCACAGGACCAAGACCCCAATACCATCCCTCACCAACCCCACCCCACCATTTTAACACCCCCAACCCTCACCCACCCCCCCTCATCCTCCCACCAACCACCCGCCACGGCCGGGCACGGTGTTGACGGTGCCCACAGGCATTAACCAAAGGCCGGCGCTGCCGGGCAGTTCACAGCGAGTGGCACATGGATTTATTGATTGCTTTGGGGTGCTGGTGCCCCCGGGGTGCCCGCCTGGGGCGAGGGGCACGGCGCGAGCGGGGCGGGGGGGCGAAGCGCTGTCATTTCCATCCTCCCTCTGTGCACCGGGTGGGCGGGAATGGCTCCAAATAAAACAAATCTCTATATATTTTTTCTCTATATATATACAAATATATAATATATATATCTCTGCCGATATATATATATATCTCTTATCTCTCTGGAAAGGATAAAAGGTTAATTTGTCTTCGCATGCACAACCAAAGCCACCAACCCACGGGGACAGCGGTTGCCAAGGGACGCGCACCCTCGCCCGCTGGCACCCCGAGAGCCCCGGGGGGGGGGGGTCACATCCTGCGCCCCCCAGGTTATTGCTGGTCAGGTCCCATCCTGCTCCGGCAAACAAGCGGAGGGGGAAGAAGCCGAAGAAATGAAATCCCGCTGCAAAGCGCTGGCGAGCTCGTTGTCACCTGGCCGTTTCCCCGTGGCACCCGCTGTCGGGGCCCGGAGGAGATGGTGGTGTCACCCCAGGACCGTGGGTGCTGCGGGGGCAAAGGAGGATGGGGGGGGGGGGGGAGTGGGGGGGGCGCAGGCACCCAGTTGAAAGGCAAAGTCTGGATAAGGCGAAAAAAAATTAAATAAAGATCAGCGACCGCCCCCCAAAGCGGGCACTTTGCCACCCGAAACTGGTGCGCCAGTGGCCTTCGGCGCCGGTGGCCGGTGCTGGCCCCTGGGTGCTGCAAGGACGAGCGTGGGGACAGGGACACTGTCATAGGGCTGTGCTCTCCGATTCCTCCTCCTGCTCCTGCCGGGTGGCCGGGCTCGGCCCCGAGAGTCTCTGCGGTGCCTCCGGCGGGTCCCGGCACAGGGTGGCATCCAGGGGGACGTGGAGGGAGGGGACCTCAAAACAGAGCAGACCTGCGAGGGGGGGGGTGGGGAGAACAGAGTGATGGGGGGGGATGTTGCGGCGAGGGCTCGGTGGCAGGACACCTCAGCAGGGCTGGCGTCGTGTCAGTGCCACCCCCAAGGGATGTCACCACCGGTCCCAGCTCTGTGTCACCCCTCCCTAGCTGGAGCCTGTGACACCAGCCCCGCTGTCCCCCACGGTGACGCTCCGCTCTCCTCCCACCTGGCGCAGGTGACACCGCTGTCCCCTCTCCCGAGGGACCCGCAGGGGCAACCCCCGGGTAGAAACCCCCCCCCCCCGTCCCCCCCGCGGTGAGCTGCACCCCAGGGTGCAGCAACAGGGTGCAGTGTTGGGGTGCGATGCTGGGGCTGCAGGGTGGGGTGCCGGGGTGCCATGCCAGGGCCATGCTGAGGGCAGCCCCCCCCACCCGGGGGGTCACGTAGCCCCCGCGCTGTCCCAGCCCCTGGCAGACAGGGTGGGCACAGGGACGAGCAGAGCCCCCCCCCCACCCCGCAGGACCCCACGGCCTCTGTGTCCCCACCTGTCCCCAGTGCCACCAGCACTTCCAAAGCATCACCCTGACCGTCCCCCTCAAACGGCGCAGCCCCCACTGCTGCAGGGACACCGGGGGGGGGGGGGGGGGCAGACACCAACAAAACCCAGGGACAGGGAGGTCGGAACGGCAGCACATGCTCGTGGTGCTTCCCAGGGACGATGTCACCTTCCTGGGGACACCACCACCTTCCTGAGGATGCTGCCACCTTCCTGGGGACGCAGCCACCTTCCCAAGGGTGCTACCACCTTCCTGAGTACAATGTCACCTCCCTGGGGACATCACCGCCTTCCTGGGGACACAGCCACCTTCCCAAGGGTGCTACCACCTTCCTGAGTACAATGTCACCTCCCTGGGGACATCACCGCCTTCCTGGGGACACAGCCACCTTCCCAAGGGTGCTACCACCTTCCTGAGTACAATGTCACCTTCCCGGGGACATCTCTGCCTTCTTGGGGACATCACCACCTTGTAGGGGACAGTTCCACCTTTCCAAGGTCATTATCACCTTCCCAGGTACACTGCCACCTTCTTGAATACGTCGCCACCTTTCTGGGGACATCACCACCTCCCCATGGACACTTCCACCTTCCCAGAGACATCATCCACCTTCTCAGGGATGCTGTCACCTTCCTGGTGACAGTTCCACCTTCCCAGGGACACTGCACGTTCCCGGGGACACTGCCACTTTCCTGAGTACATCATCCCCTTCCCAGGGACGTCACCACCTTCCTGGGAACAGTATCACTTTGCCAGAGTCACTGTCACCTTCCTGGGGACAGTTCTGCCTTTCCGGGGACATTGTCACCTTCCTAGGGACACCGCCACCTTCCCAGGAATGTTGCCACCTTCCCGAGCCACTGGTTCCTGGGGACATTGCCACCTTCCTGGGGACAGTTCTACCTTGCCAGAAACATTATCATCTTCCTGGGGACATCACCACCTTCTCAGGGACGTTGCCACCTTCCTGGGGACAGTTCCACCTTTCCAGAGACATTGTCACCTTCCTGGGGATGTTGCCACCTTCCCAAGTACTTCCCAAGTCAACCGGTTCCTGGGGACACTGCCACCTTTCTGGGGACACAGCCACCTCCCCCAAGGGTGTCACCAGCTTTCTGAGTGCACTCGCACTTTCCTGGGGACATCACCACCTTCCTGGGGACACCATCACCTTCCTGGGGACAGTTCCACCATGCCAGGCACACTGCCACCTTCTTGGGGACATCACCGCCTTCTCAGCAACACCGCTGCCTTCTCGGGGACAGTTCCACCTTTTCGGGGACACAGCCGCCTCCCCCAAGGGTGTCGCCACCTTCCTGAGTGCACCGTCACTTCCCTGGGGACATCGCCACCCCCCTGGGGACACCATCACCTTCCCAAGTGCCTCGTTGCCTTCCTGGGGACAGTTCCACCTTGCCAGCGACACTGCCACCTTCCCGGGGCCACCACCCCCAAACCCTGGGCCACAAACACGCGTGTGTGTGTGTGTGTGTGTGTGTGTGTGTCCCCCGCCCCGTGCCACTGCCACCAGCGAGCCCCCACGGCGCGGGGCGGGCGGGCGGCCCCCGCTCCCACTCCCACCCGCGGTTACCTGTGGACACGCCATCCCCGGGGCCCGCGGCGTCCAGGCGGGGCAGCTCCGGGGGCTGGGGGGGGCCGGGGGCGGCCGGGGGGGGGGGCTGGGGAGGCGGGGGCAGCGCCGGCCGCGGCCGCGGCTTGGGGGTGGGCCGGGATTTGGGGGGGGGGCCGGCGGGGGAGGGCAGGAGAGGGGGGGGCGGGGGAGGCGGCGGCGGGGGGGCGGGAGAGGGCGGCCCGGGGGGCGGGCAGGGCCCCGGGGGGGCGGCGGGGCCGTAAGGGGAGGGGGTGCTGGGGGGGGTGGGGGAGAGGCTGGCGGGGGAGGGCTGCCCCCCCCCCTGCTCCCCCGCGGCCGCCCGGGGCGGGATGGGCGCCAGCTTCTTGGCCACTGCGAGACAGAGAGAAGGGCGGGGGGGGGGGGGTGTCAGGGTGCTGGGGGGGGGGTCACACCGAGTGGGGACCCCCCCCCCCTCCCCTCCACGCCATCCCCGGCCCCGCTCCTACCTTTGCGCAGGGCGGGCGGGCTCTGCTCGGCGGGCGGGGCGGGGGGCGGCGGCTGCCCGGCCCCGGGGGGCGGCTCCTTGGGCCGGAAAGTGCTTTAACGGAGGGGGGGGGGGGGGGGAAGGGGGAGGTAAATAGGAGAAGAAACGGAATAAAAAGAAAAGAAAGCAATAAGGACAGGGATGAAAAATAAAAATGCAAAATAAAGAAAAGAAAAATGGAAAGGAATGAAAAATGGAAATAAAAAAATAATAGCGCAAGATAAAATATGCAAAGATTTAAAATAACAATAGAATTTGAAGAAAATGGGAAACCAAAACAAAATAATAAAAATAAATGAAAAAAGTAAAAGTAAACAAAACAAAATAAAAAATAAAAATGCAAATAAATTAAAATTAAAATATAAAATAGGAATTAATAACAACAATAACAAAAGGAAAATTTAAAAAGAAGAAAGAAGGGAGAGCTGTGAGGTCCTTCCTGCACCCAGCAGCCCCCCCGCTAGCCCCCCACGGGGGGGTTCAGCCCCAGCCTCGGCGCAGCCCCCAGCCCGACACCCCCCGGGGACAGCGGTGATGGGGCCACCGAGCCCCCTCCCCCCCCCCCCGGTTTGGGGGTCGCCATGGTGACCTCGCTGGGCTGGATCCTGCGGCAGCCCCGGGGGAGCGGGGGCCCGGGGGGGTCCGTTTTGGGAGCAGTGCCACGGGGTGAGGGAGCAGCGAAGGGAGCAAGGTCTGGCGCCAGGGTGAGGGGCGAGAAGCGAGGAGGAGGGGGAGGAAGATGGGGACAGGGACAGGACGGGGCGGGGGGGGCTGGAGCCACCATTCAGTCAAGCAGACCCCAAGTGACCCCTGCTGCAAAATGTCCAGAAACACCATAAAAAAAAGTCCAAAAAAAAAAAAAAAAGGAGGGAAAAAATAATAAAAAAGCAGAAGCATCAGCGCTGCGGGGGGGACAGAGGAGAGCGGTGACAAAGCCCCCCCCCCGGTGCTGAAGCCCCCTCACCTCACCCCACTACGCCAGGATCCAGCTCACGGCACACCCCACCCGAGACTGCCACCCCCACCCATGGGTGCACACTGGAGCAGAACGTGGCTCGGGTGGCTGCAAAGCTCAGCTCCCCTTTTGGGGGCAGAAAAATGGAATTGAGGTGCCTTCTCCCACCTGGCCCCCGTGCAAATTAAAGCAGGACACAGACGCTGGGCAGAGGAAAGGCTCGGGGGGGGCTGTCGGGCTTCTCCTCGCACCTCCAGCCCCAATTTTGCTACAGCCCAGCGACACCCGCTGCGAGCCGGGCAGGGGACCCGCGGGACGTCCCGGGGGGCAGCACCAATTCTGCGGGGCCGGTGTGGGAGCCACGGGGATGCCGAGCATCCCACCCCCCCCCCCCCCCCCGGCATGGCCGTGGGGGTTTTGGGGCTGGGCTCCCACACGGGGAGGATGCCGGGGCTGGGGACACGGGGGTGCCGGTGGGCTTACCTTGTGCGCTCGGCTCCCGGGGGGAAGCCGAAGCTGGTGGGAGGTGGGGAAGGGGTGGCCGCCACGTCCGGCGATTGCTCGGGAATGGGCGAGTGGGGGGTGGCGGGGAGCTCGGCGGGCGGCGCGGGGGGCTGAGCGGCCGGCGGGGTGGAGGACGCCTTGCGTGCCGCCGAGGTGCCTCGGCGAGCCACCCACGAGGTGTCCATCACCCTGACGCCCATGCTGGGGGGGGGGACACAGAGACAGGCGCTCAGCACCCGCCCAGCGGGACGGGACCAGCGGCGCCGCGTCCCGGCTCCTTTGGGGTGTCAGGTCCCTAAAAACGCCTCTTCCACCAGGAATGAACCGCCACGGCAACAGGGCGGGGGTGGCTGTGTGGGACACGCTTCTGTCACCCACCGGCCACCTCTCCCCTCCCCAGGTGCCAGCAGGCACCAGCACCCTGCCCGCAACCACCCAGCACGTCCCCAGCATCCTCCCAGTACCGCTGCAGAGCATACAATACCTTTGGATTTTCCTAAGGCTGCATGGACAGAAACACACAATTATTAGTGTTAAAAAAATGAAACAAACTAAAACTGGACAGTGAACAGGGTGAGAGCCCACTGCTCGGAAAAGGACCTGCAAGGTCAAGGAGCTTCAAGAGAAGGAGCAGGAGGGGCACGGCGGGGACCCGGCTATGCTGGTGATGGGAAGAGCCCTGGTGACATTTTTTGGAGATGGGGAGAGCCCTGGGGGGTGTTTTCTTGAGCTGACCTGACTGGCTGCGGTCCCTGTGAAGTAGCCCAGGGAGAGGGGTACGCACAAGCTGGGAGTGAGGACCTTTCCTCTGCAGCAGAGCCCTCAGACCGTGGGGATACCAGGGCACCCGACCCCAGTGTGGCACAGCCCCAGTGCCACCCCACGGGCCACCCCACTCCCATCTCCAGTGAGCTGGGGACAGGCATCAAGCCCCGGACTCACCTGAGCATCCCCAAGAGCCCAGCAAGGAGAGCAGGGGGGTCCTCCCTCCCCCAGGACCACCCAACCTCCACCAGCTGAGTGGCACCCAACCCCCGGGTGGTGGCAATGCCACCACCTCCTTCTCCCCAAACCCTGGCCCCGCAAAGACCCTACCCATCCTTCTTGTAAAACTCCAGCATCATGTTGTCCGTGGCCACGCTGAGGGGCCGCCGGGCCTGGTCGTGCTGCCGGCGGTCGGCGTGGTCCATGTCCGGGGAGGGCATGGAGCTGTAGTTGGCGTTGTGGTTGACGTGCATGGGGCTGCCGTAGTTGCCCGTCACGTTGAACTCGATGTCTGGGGAGGGGGAGAAAGGAGAGGGGGGACACATTAGGTTGTGTGTCCTCAGGGAGGGGTGGGGTGGGGTGGGGGGCGTGTCGGCACCGCAGGAATGCTTGGGGGGGGTCCTGGAGCGGCTGGGTTGTGCTCACTGATGTGATGAGTCTTGCCAGATCTCTGCCTGAGCACCACCTCCGCCCCCCACCCCCAAGCCAGGGCAAGCAGAGGGGGCTGGCAAAAATAAATTTGGGCGCTCAGCACTCCCTCCCCAGGGAGGGCTGGGAGGTCCCACGAAGCCCATCCCGCCCCGGCCCAGCCTACCTCCAGGGAAGAACCAGTCGGCGTGCTGGATGAGCGGCTCGATGATGCCCACGATCTGCAGCGAGACGGTCGTCATCATCTCCGTCATGTTCCTGCAAGGCGGCGGGCAGCGGCTCAGCAGCCCCACCACAGCCCGGCCTTATTCCTGGTGGGATTTTGGCCTCGGGCCCCCCCCCTCGCCCCCCTTCCCCAGCAGCCCTCTGGCACGCTCGCTTGCCCCCCCCCTCCTCCCTTACCCGTCCGCCTGCGGCCAGAGGAGGTTGGGCCCCAGCACGATGGCCACGTTGCTCGGTGTCATTTTATTCGTGTCCTGGTACTCGGTCAGCTTGGCCAGGAATTTAATCAAGTACCTGGAAAGCAGAGCCAAGCCGTGTGGGTGTATCAGGATCGTGTGTCCCCCCCCCCCCAGGGTCCCGCTGGCCCCAGGCTCACCTGATGTTGTTGTAGTTGGCTTTGGGCAGCTTCTCGCAGGCGCTCCAGAGAGCCTGCAGCCGCTTCTCCTGCTCCGGGATGCTGCGGGGAGGTGGGCGAGGAGGTCAGCCCCCATTCCCACCCCACCTCAGGGCTTCAACCGCCCCAGCCCTGCCCTCAGGGACCCCGCGAGACCCTCAGGCTGACGCCAACGTTATATAAGTAAATTAACCCCCAAACCCCCCACCCAAAATGAGAAGGAAATCTTTTGGCAGCAGGCTGGATGCAGGTCCTCTACTCATCTCCACGCAACCCCCCTCAAAGTTCATGTTTTGGGGGTGTGTTTGCTTGGGAAGGGGAAATTACTGCCAACAGCCCCCAGAACAACAGCCCGCTCTCCCCATGTGCCACCCCTCAGGGACCGTCCCCTCCAGCAAGCCACCACCGCGTCCCTTCTGTGCTCCCAAGCTCCCAGGGCAGGTGAGGGACCTGGTCAGACCTGTATTGAGGCACCACCGAGGTGGTTCCCACCCCAAAAGGAGATGCTCCTCCTCCCACCTCCCTCTGCCCGTCATCTCTGTACCCCAAACATCACCCACGGTGGAGCAGGCACATCGGTGCCACCTCAGCTGGCCCAATCCTGATGGGTTTGGGGGTTCCACGGTGCAGAGCACCCCAGCAAAGCAGATGAGAGTTCCCTCAGCCAGCTGTCCCCCTGGGGTTTGCACACCCACCCAGAAACGGGACCCGTGCCCGGCACCCAATGGCTCGTCGAAAGATGCTGGGAGAGCTCAGCCACCTTGGCCAGGGTGCCCTGGGGACATCAGGGTCAGGGGACATCAGGGTCAGGGGACATCAGGGCCACCCTCACTGCCGGGATGCACGATGCTCAAGGAGCATCACGGGAACCCTCCTGGCTCTCAGACCCTGGAGGAAACATCCTAAATGCTGTGAGCCATGTCAGAAATCACTTGTGGCCCCCAAACCATCCGTAAGAGCCTGAGATGCCACCACCCATGTCACGGAGGAATGGGGGGGGATGCCCCAGACTCACTTGGAGGCCTGGATCCACTCCTCGTACAGCTCGAAGGTCATGAGGGGCTCCGGCAGCTCTCGCAGGTAGGACTTGAGGGCTCCTGTGGCACACAAGGGACACGGGGCTCGGCACTGCGGGTGGCACCGGCTGATGGACACCAGGTGGTTTCGCTCCTCAGGACTTCGACTCACATCCCTCCCAGCCTTCCCACTCCCCACATCCCAAAGCACCCGCCGGTCTCCTCAGCTTGGTGGAACCTGCAGCATCCCCTGACCCCAGACACCACCTTGACACCTCCACCTAGTCCCTCCTAGGGCCTCCCCAGTTCCCTCCACCATTCTTGCCTCCACCTGGCACTCACCCAGCTCTCCATCCTGTGTTTTTGCCCAGGACATTCACATCTCCTTCCGCTGGGAAAAGGTTCCCATTGCAGTCAATAGGAAACCAGGGTCCAACTCTGCACCCGCTGGAGAGCCCAGCTCAGGAGGGGAGCAGCTGACTGGTATTTAAACCCAATTCATGCTTAATAGCAGCCCCACTGCTTCAGATCTGTGCTTGGAGAGAGTCTTCAACCCCACTGGAGGTAGAGAGAAGATGGCGAGCTTCATGATGTGCAAATCTTCCCAACTGCTCCCTTCTCCTGCGGAGCCTCTGCTGATCAGTGATGCCCTAATTAGTGTCACCAGGGCCCCACCGCTGCCTTGGGTTATGATTGCATCCTTGTTTTCTTCCTCGCCTGTGATCAAAAGTGCTGCTCAAGCCCTAAGCTGGGGACGGGGCGTGGGGGGTTGGGGTTTGTGCTCCTCGGTGGATGGTAACTCCTAAACGCCCCCGTTTCCACCAAAAGCTGTATTTCTACACTTGCATTTGTCCCCCTGTATATTCTGCCTTTGCTGTTCAAAGGCTTTGGGACAAATCACAGAAGAGTCGAGGTTGGAAGGGACCTCTGGAGGTCAGCTGGTCCAACCCCCTGCTCTAGCAGGACCACCAGAGCTGGTTGCCCAATGTCTGTGTCCTGATGGCTTTTGAGTATCTCCAAGGACGGAGACTCCGCCACCTCTCTGGGCAACCGGTCAGTGCTTGGTCACCCGCAGAGTGACAAAGTCTCTCCTGACGTTCCGAGGCAACCTCCCGTGTTCATTTGTGCTCGTTGCCTCTGGCCCTGGCACTGGCCACCACTTCAAAGAGCTGTATCGTCTTTCCACTCTCTCTGCAGGTATTTATACCCATTGATGAGATCTCCCTGAGCCTTCTCTTCAGGCTGAACAGTTCCAACTACTTCAGCTTTTCCTCCTAGGAGAGATGCTCCAGGCCCTTCATCATCTTCACAGCCCTTCACTGGGCTCTCTCCAGTACATCCATGTCTCTCTTGTAGTGCTCAGGACTGGAAGGATCACCTCCCTTGACCTGCTGGCATCCCTCCTTCCAATGCAGCCTGACACCATTCGCCTTCAGTGTGCCACAAGAGCACATTGCTGGCTCGCTCATGGTCAGCTTGCTGGCCACCAGCACTCCCAGGGCCATCTCTGCCAAGCTGCCTCCCAGCTGGGTGGCCCCCAGCATCTCCTGGTGCCTGGGGGCAGGACTTGCCACTTCCCCTTTGCTCAACCTCACCAGGTCGCTCTCCGCCCGTTTCTCCAGCCTGTCCAGGTCCCTCTGCACGGCAGCAGGACCCTCTGGTGCACCAGCCACTGCTCCCGGCGTGGTGTCATCTGCCAACTTGCTGAGGGTGCACCCTGCCCCATCGTCCACGTCATTAATGAAGGATTGGATCCCGTATCAACCCCTGAACTACGCTGCTAGTTACTGGCCTCCAACTAGGCTCCATGCCCACCCTCTGGGTGCCCACAGTTGGTGTTTTTGGGGCTGGATGGGCCGTCCCACACACCACCAACCCCCCCCCCCCTGCCCTGGGCAGCCTCTACCTGCGATGGCATGCGGGTCGGCCGAGTACTCCTGCACGTCCACCACGCAGCAGTCCAGCGCGGCCTTGAGCTTCTTCAGCTTGGAGGCCGAGGGAGCCACTCGGAAGAGACCCTTCGCAGAGGACACGGGAGAGCGTCAGGCAAGCTTTGGGGCCGGGGATGTCCCCAAACCACTCCCCGCCTCTCCCCGGTTCCTCATCCCCGCCTTGGAGGCGCCCGTGTCCCCGTCCATCCCAACCGAGGGTGGTAGGACACGGGACCCACCTCCTCCTGCATGCCACACTCCAGCAGCATCGTCACGCACGCCTCCACGGGGAAGGCGATCTCCCGCCTGCTGACGGCCAGATGCTCCTCCAAGGGCTTCCCGAAGGAGGGCTTCTCCATCCACGCCTCTGTGACGGGCAGAGGGGGTGAGAGGAGGGGGAGGACACGGCGGGGACGGTGCCGGATCTGGCATCCCCTCCCCGAAAGGCCCTTGGATCACAGCGTTTCGGCAGCAAAATATTCCGTTTGGGTGTTGCTAAAACAACAGGACCCCGCACCTCTGTCCTGGGCGGCTCGGGAAGTGCTTTTTAAAGATGAAATCCAAACAAAATGTTTTCCAATCATCACACGGGACATTTCAAAGGGGCTGGATAACGTTTTCCGGGGGAAGCAATCACGAGCAAACCTTTGCAATATATTCCCCCTTCTTCCATCACAGTTTGAGGCAGGAATATTTTGTGGGATCGAGAGAAAAAAATAAAATACAAATCACTCCCTGCCTCGCTGCAGTGACGGCAGCACCCCGAGCCCTGCCCCGGGGAATGCGCTGCTCTCGGGGCCATCGCGTGGGGCTTTCCCCGACCTTGGTCTCCCAGCCCAGCTCCTACAGAGGTTGCACAGCTCAAAGCCAAGCCCCAAGACATCCCACCACCCCCCCCCCCACCTTGGCGCTGGGTTCCCACCCCCAGCGCTGCGCCCGACGGGGCTATTCGGGCAGGTTTCCCCCCCTCTCCATGAAGCCGGCCGGATCCTGCCCCCCCACCCGTGACCGAGTGGGCCAGGGCTGCCCTCGCCAGCGCCGCGCAGGCGGGATGCGGGGGGGGGGGGCAGCAAAGGGAGGATGCTCAGCCACAAGCCCAGCACCACGCCGCGCCGCGGGGTCAGGCCGCAGCCCCGGCGTGAGGCAGAGCCCTCGGCGTCGCACGCGGGAGCGGGATGGACCCCGCCGGCACTTACCCTGCTGGGCTTTAATTTGAGGCAGGACATTCTGCAAAAGCGCTAAGGATTTCCGATGGTACTCTGCCTGCACCTCGATCAGCTGGGGGGGAGAGACAGCACCGGCTGTCAGCCCTACGGCCGGGGACGGGGGCGGAGGAGTCCCGTGGGGATGGGTGGCACTTACGGTTTGAAAATAGTTTGCATAGTCTACTTCTTTGGCCACAAAATTGTACATGTCGGCCGAGAGCTGGTCCTGCAGAGAGCAGAGAATTAGTCGCCGTCCCACTCGTCCTGATGCCACCACGACGGCCCTTTCGGAGGCCACCGGGAGGGACCAGCTCGGTGACACCGGGAGCCAACGTGCAACATGGCAGGTGGCAGCAATGCCCGAGGTGTGCTGGGGATGCTGAACATACGGCGGAACCACGGGGGTTTGCTTTCTGCTGCCGTGCAAGCGGTGCCACCCTCGCCCCCCCCTCCTCCTTCCAGAGCCCACAATTAGCCGGCACCTTGCAACGAGCTCTCTGGGAGCGAGAGTTACTTGGAAGCAACCTGTCAGCCAAAGGCTGCACAGCCCGGAGGGCCGAACGGCACAAATTAAACCCCAAGTTTGCTCGTCCCAGCACCTCGCTGTGTTGCTCCTCGCGTGCAAGTGGCTCGTTAACCACAGGGCTAATTGCCGTGCAGCGGAGCAGCGCGCACGGCTCGGCTGCCACGCGTAGCATCCCAACTGTTCGGTGTGGGCCGGACTGATGGGGCATCGGGTGCCTCTTACTCCAAACTGCAACGAGCCCTTCGGCACCAGGACACATCTCTCTGTCCTCACGCTCGCAAAATAGACTTTGCCACTTCTGAAATTGCTCCTTTCTGAGAATCCCTTTGGATAACTCAACTGGAGGAAAACCAGCAGGTTTTTAAAACGCCATGAGCACGTCCCAGTTCCAACATCCACCATCAGTACAGCGAATATACTGGGGGCAGCTCGTGGCCCAGTTGGTTTGCTGGGAATTGCTGGGTGCATGGGGCTGCAATGCTCTACAATGGGGGGAAGAGAACACGAGTTCGAGATGGGATTATAAAGGCTACGCAGGTTCTGGTTGTGCCCCTGGAGAAAACAACCACCAGGATTTGAGACATGCACCCGGCTCCACCTCCTGCCCAAAGCAAGGTTCACCCGCCCCTTTGCATTTTCTGCCCTGGGGAATTTAAAAGCCACACAAATTTGCCCGTGGTCTTCATGGCTGAATCCCGCAGCCCGTGACGAGGGCGCTGGCAGCAGCGTCCTGCCTCGCTCGGACACTTTTCCCACCCAGCACGACCAGCTGGGTGGGCTGTGCTGCCGCGGGATGGCGGGGGGTGACGTGGCCGGGTGGCAGGAGGGGGCTCGGCACGCAGTGGCGCTTCCCGCAGGTCCCTGTGCCAGGGCTGGCTGCTCTCAGCGCCGAGCTCGCCGGCTGCTGCCGGGACGGGTGCCCTGGCAATGGGATGCTCTCTGGCTCCAGTGGGATATGGATGGGGCCAGCGGAACCGGGGACGTCCTGCTTGGCTGCTGAGCATCACCCACTGCCACCAGGCTGCATCTGGGCACGGGGACCAGCCAGAGGGAGGGTTTACCATGGGCAGTGGGGTGAGAAGAGGGAGAAAAACAGGTAAGAAGAGAGGCTGCAGGTTTTCCACGGCGCCCGGGACACCAATGTCCCCCCACCCCAGCAAGGAGCGATCCCCCCCCGGACCCTGGGTACCCTGCAAATCTCCACTCTGTTGGCCGCCTCCTCCATCTCCTCCCTGAGAGCGTCGGCTTTGGCGCCCGAGGGCTGCAGGTTGCTGGCCAAGCCCGAGGACTTGGCCGACTGCTGCCACCTGCACAGAGAGGGCAGAGCCGTCACGGGGAGGGACAGGGACCCGCGCAGAGCGGTTCCCAGGTCCCAGCGGACTTGGAGAGCAGCCCAGGGACCCCCCTCAGCCAAGCCCCCCGTGGTCCCCAGGGCTGAGCACCATAGAGATGGTCCCAAACCCAGGCGGGGATGCAGCACCCACTCCCAACCCTAAACATCCCCAGCCCCCACAACCAGCTGCACACACTGGGCTCTAAAGAAGCAATTATTTTCAGCAGGAGAACAAGCCTCATCCAGGTGGGAGGAGAGAGGAAGGTGATGGGAGGTCCTGGACACTGGGGACTACAGTCACCTCCCAAACCTCTCCCCAGGGCATGCCGTGAAGCGCGGGGCTTGGGCAGCCCCACAGCCCCAGGCAAAACCCAAAGCACAGCGTCTGGGACACAGGACAATCCCATGAGTCATCCCAGCTCCACCCCAGCACTTCTCTAGGGCAGCAAGAGCACCAGGCTCTTTGCCATCACAGAATAACTCACCAATATAGGGAAAAGAAGGAAAAAATAAAGATTTGTGCCAGAAAAAAAATACTCTTTTCTGCAGAGGGCAGGCAAAGAAAAGGGATCTAAGGATTCTGAAGACAAGAGCGGAAATCTTGGCTCATTGCAGAGCTTGACTTCAAGGCACATGGTGACACGACCGAGACTTATTGTCCCAAGGAAGCCACGGTACCCGGGGGCTTCGGGACATGCTCTCCCCAGCACTACCCATCACTTGGGAATTTTTATTTTTTATAAAGCAGCTTTGAGGCTGCTTCCTACCGTGTCCTGGAGGAGTCCATGTCCAGCACGAGCTTCGCCAAGTGCTTCCTTTGCTTCTGGATATTCGGGATTTCCACCTGCAGCAGCACACAGGAACGGGAGGAGATAAACATCCCCGGAGAGGCGTCGGGGTAGGTCGGACCTGGCTGCGACGCGGGGATGTTGGGCTGGTGCAAGCTGGGCAGCTAAGGATGCAGCTCCTTATTTTAACGTCATTAGGGAAGATGGCACAGCTCGCCCCTCCTCTGTGTCCCCACCTGGGCTGTGCCACCCCCCGCCAGCCCTGACCGCAGAACCCACATCCCAGAGAGGAGCATCCTCGGGGGGATCAAAGCTGACCGCACTGGGGAGCTGGGTGAAGGCAGGAAAAGGGCTTTTGGGGGTGGCAATGCATGGGCACTGTTTGCCAAGGGATCTGGTGACGGTTGACAGCCCTGAACACCAGCAGTGCAATAAAGCTTTTGTTTCTGCTGAGGAAGATAAAATCAGAACCAAGCCCAGGACACTTTGCTAGATGTACAAGCAGGGAAAAAAGCACTGGGAAAAATTGAAAAACAAAGCTTGCAGCCCAGGGAAGAAGGAGGGGGAAAAAAATCCCCAATACAATGGTATGTGTTTGGAGCTTGGAAAAATGGGTCAGAAATAAGTGTTAATGCCTCTGCCTTCAGGGAAGGCAGAAAAGAGCAAGATAAGCAAGGGGAGGCAAAGGAGCCGGCAGAACCACCGTGCCAGCAGCCAGCCCAGCTGCACGTGCAAATCCTGCCTGCCAGTTAAAGCGATTAGCAAACGTCTCAAAGGGGGGAAGGTCCCTCGCGGGGGCCAGGACCCAAATATGCCACGGAAGCAGTGAAACCCTGCCCTCCCCCAGGCTCGTTTCGGCTGCGAGTCCCTGGCGCGGTGACACCCCGAGCCGGTGCCGTCCCCGCCGCCGCTCACCTCAGCCAGCACGAAGAGGGGCTCGATGACGTCCCTCTCCACCTGCAGCTCGAAGTGGATGAGCTCCTGAGCCAGCTTGTCCTCCGCCTCCCCGCACAGCCGCAGCATCTTCCTGCAAGGGCACCGGCCGGGCTGGGCACCGCGGGGGCCGGGGCAGCGACGGGCACCCACCCTGCACCCATGGGGGTGGGCGACGGTCACCCAAAGCCTCGGGGGGGGGGGGGGGGGGGCTTGGCAGTGGCGTGGGGCAGAGGGCTGGAGGGAGGGAGGGTGGCAGCCCGGGGACCGTGGGCACCCTGGCTGTTAGGAAAATCTCATTCCCTACCTACTGCACCAATTATAGTCTGAAATTGGACTTTGTTAAGAGAGAGATAGAGAGATAGAGAGATAGAGAGATAGAGAGATAGATAGATAGATGGATAGATGGATAGATGGATAGATGGATAGATGGATAGATGGATAGATAGATAGATAGATAGATAGATAGATAGATAGATAGATAGATAGATAGATAGATAGATAGATAGATAGATAGATAGATAGATGGATAGATGGATAGATGGATAGATGGATAGATGGATAGATGGATAGATGGATAGATAGATAGATAGATAGATAGATAGATAGATAGATAGATAGATAGATAGATAGATAGATAGATAATTATAGGTAAACAGATAGATAGATAAATAGATAGATAGATTGATAAACAGATCGATAGATCAAGAGATTAAAAGATAGATTGATAGATTGATAATAGATAAATAGATCGATAGATAGATCAATAGATAGACAGATTGATAATAAATAGATTGATAGATTGATAAATAGATCAATAGATAAATAGATCAATAAATAGATAAATTGATAGTTAATAGATAGATTGATAAATAGGTTGATAGATTGATAAATTGATAGATACATAGATTGTTAATAGATAGATAGATAAAAAGATAGATTGACAGATAAATCAATAGATAGATAGATCAACAGATTGATAAATAGATAGATCGATAGATCAATAGATTAAAAGATAGATTGTTAGACAGATAGATAGATCGATCAATGACAGATATACATACACACACTTTACACTGGATATTGCGTGACTAGAGGACCGCAGCTCATCACAAGGAGAAGAGTAAAGGAAAGCCCTGGACTACCGAGATCACAGGAGCATGCCAGCCCGCCCAACGCCGCTGTGACCCCCCCCCGTTATCCAGCACCACAGCTCGGGAGCCGCAGCAATTCCCAGCAGCATCCCGGCAGCGTGCTGGGGGGAGACCCGGCCCCCCCCTTACCCCAGCAGGGAGTCGTCGCCCAGCACAGCCGAGCCCTCCATCAAGCACTGCGCCAGCGTCGTCAGCGGCAGCTTCTTCTGCAAAGAGAGGGGCTGTGTCTCCCGCCCCGCCGCCCGCCCGGCCCCCCCAGCGCCCCGCCAAAGCCTCACCGAGCGCTTGTCGGCGTCCACGCCTTGCTGGCCCTGCAGACATGCCGTCAGCTTCTTGTGGGTGCTGTGGGAGACCTGCTTCACCAGCTCCAGGCGCTTCTCCACCTGCGGATGTGGTGGTGCCCATCACCGGGGTATCCCGCCTGGTCCCGCACCCGCCATGCGGGGGCATAAGGGACTTTTTTTGCTTTTTAACCAAAGCGGGTTTAATTGCTGCTGCAGCGGGTGCAACAGCCCCGGAGCCCAACCCCTCCCCGGGGCAGGGATGTTTTTAGTGGGAGAAGGTTTCACCAGGCTGATGCTGCCCCATCTGGCCCCCCCCCCCCAGCAAGGCTGAGGGCAGGAGGTGTCTGTCCCTGCCACAAACCAGACTGGCCGGTGCTCTAACCTGGGGCTGAAAATTGCCTTATTTGCTTCTGCGTGGACTAAATTCAGCGGCTCATCCCCAAACTCAACAAGATGAGTCATTAAATGCAAGCAACCAAGATCTGCTGAAAACCAAAGCTGAGAGACACGAGGGAATCGTGGAAACCTCAACGTTTTGAGAAATAATCTGGAAAAAGAGAAATATTCCCTAAAGGTCAAAATCCTGGGAAATGATCTGGGGAAAGAAAAAAAAGAAAGAAATCCTCCCTGACCGGGAGAAGTGCTGAGCCTGCAGCACGTCCCTGAGGCATCTCACAGGAACCTGGCACTCGAGCTGAGCCACCCTCCACCACTATAATACAGATATGACTAGCAATATATACTATATCTAAGAATAATATAAAGAAAAAATATTATTTATCTATATTTTAAAAAAACCCCTCTATGATGCCTGGCTGAGGTAGAGCAGCCTCTGCCACCCCTGCAACACCGGCATGTTCCTTTCAACATATACACGGACATGTGTGTCTATATATATATCTATAAAAATTATAGATATTAAAATAATATAAATTATAGACATGCAAATTTTATGTAAATTATAAAATTGTATATATACTTTTATATATATATATATATACACACAGATGTCTGTGTTTATTTTGCAAGGAAAGGGTATGATGCTCAGAAGGGCACACATGTGGGTGCACACCCACGTAGATGAGCCAAAGCGGGGGTGATGGAGCACAACACCGGGGAGGGTTTGGGTTCCCCCCACGCCTGGAGACAGACCCCAGCGAACATGACTTCGGGAGACACTCAGACAAGGTGGCACTGCCCACTGAATTATCTCCAAAAGGTGTAAAAATGCTCTGTGCGACGCTGTGGAAGCCCAGCGAGCCACAGATGCTGCCCAGTGCCGGGATGTCACCGGGCGGCTGCCAGAGCAGGGTCTGGCTCTCAGTGCCAAGGGGCCATGGAGACCTCAGAGCTTGCAAGGAGAAATACCAAAAGTTAAAATAGAAAGAAAAAAAGATTTGTTACTGATGGTCCCTCCGGCTGCTGGTGGCGGGGAGCGCTCAGCTCCCCTCCGCTCCGTCCTGCCGGGGCTGCCCGTCCCTGGGGACAGCGGGGCACGTCACCGCCGCACGCTGCCCATCCCGGCCACCAGCACCGGCGGGGAGGAAAGGAAAAAAAAAAAAAAAATGCAGGGAGCAGCATCACTACGCCCAAGCGAGGGCAACACGCAGGCAGGGCACAGTGGCCAGAAAGAGCTAAAAGTCACTCTGCAGCCACTGTCACCTGCCAGGCGCTGCCTCCAGCCACCAGCGTCCTTGCACACCGGTTCTCTGGCTGTTTCTGCAGAATCTGCTACCTGACAGCAACAGCACAGACCAAACTCCGAAGCGGGAAGGTGTAAATACATCAGCTTAGCCCCCAAACAGGTTTTAAAGTGGTTCCAACAGCAGCCGGACTGGCTGACACTGGGGTACGCCCGCGCCGTGATGCAGGTGGAGCTGGGCAGCTGTTTTGCTCATCGGTGCCCGAGTGATGATTTAGAGAACATGCGAGTTAGAAACCTCATGAATTCAGTGACGGATTTGTGAAAACATGTCCCTTTCCTGGCACCTTCCCAGCTGCCTCCTTCCCTGGGGTGTGCAGGAAGCAAAAAGCACCAAGATGAGACGTCCCCAAGAGACCGCGACCTGAGCATCACAGCCGATGCACCACGTGAGGTTTTTGGCTTGGGCTGTTTTGCTGAAGTTACCCAACCCATCAGCTTTGGGGACTGTCCCCTGCCGTCACGTGTCCCGTCCCCACGGCAGGTTTTGCAGCAGAGACGGGAGACACAGGCACCCACAATCCAGGCGGCCGTATCAGGTTGCCATCCTGGCAGAGACACGACTGGATCCGATTCCAGCTGACCTGAAAACCGGGCTGGGAAGGCGCGTGGGAGGGAGACAGCGCTGCTTCCCACGCTCCCAACCCCCTCCTCCTCCTCCCAGCCCGTCTCATTGCCAGGGGACACCGTGGCACCGACCGCCACGGAGCTGCCACCACATCCAGCACCCGTGGGTGGGTGCCTGGGCACCTCGGGTGCGAGCTGGACCAGCTGCAGAGGACCTTACCTGCAGGAGATCTTCACTCAAAACCTCCGTCTTCTCAGCCCTGCAAGAAAGAACATAAAGCGGTGGCGAAGGGTCCGGCACATGCGGCAGTGCCGGGGCTGCACCCCGCGGAACCGGGCACGGCTGGACGTGCCTCTCCGTCGGGATGCAGCCGGTGATTTGAGGCTCTCTGGTCCCACCAGCCACCGCCTCATCTCCTAAATCAGCAAAGGACGGAGCACCTTCCACGGCTCGCTGTGAGCATGCCACGTCCCGCACCAATTTAGGGTCCTCCCTTGACCTCCCCCTTATTTTTCCATTATCCCCAGCCAAAGAGGGATGTTAAATTCCCAGGCGGATGCGGGCAGTGCTGCGCAGGGAGGCGGTGTGTCTATGCACAGGAGCAGCTCCCTGGGCCGCGCCGGGCTCTGGCACACCCTCAGCGCCGCGGATTTCAAGGACACAACCCTCCCGCACGGCTGAGGCTCTTCGGCCCGAGGCAGCCGACTGAATCTGCAGCGGCAGCTGCTGCCCGGGGCTTCGCCGTAACCCTCCCCGCCGCTCCTCGGAGACGGATTTACCGCTCCAGCGCCCGTGTCATCCGCTGTCTTTGCTAGCGAGGGGCGCCGGGGACGCAGGAGACGCAAACCCGCTGCAAGAGCCTCCTTCAGCCACGCACTGAGCCGCAGCATCCCTGCCCGCGCCACCCCGCAGCCACTCCTCACGCTTATTTAAGCGATCACGCTCTGGATCATTTACCCATTAAGGGTGGTTTACAACTTTAGAGCATCATCTCCCTTCGAAAAACTACCTCCATCAAGATGGACTTGGGCAGAGTTGGGATTTAGCCAATTAGTCCCTGAATGTTGGTTAACAAACAAATAACGCTTGGTGCTCTCATTCTTCTTGAAGAAATACCTTTATTGCCCGAGCCCTGGTTGCTTTCTGCTATCCAAGATGGTTTCTCAGCTTTGAGAGGCAGAGTGAAGTATCAAAATTGTGGAAATAAAGAATGAGCACCGGCAGAGCAAGGTTAAAAGAGCAAGCATGGCACAGCAGCAGCACGAGCCAGGGCAAGGCTTGGTCTATGGGCTCATCTGCAAATACACCATGTCCAAAGACTTAAAAAGTGTAAATTGACTCCATTAAATCTGATCTATGTGTGAAAGTTGTCCCAGGGTCTGATTTAAGTTGGCTCTAAAAATTAAAAAAAAATCCCCAAACTATTTAATTTTTTTTTTTTTTAAATGAATGCATAATTATATCTTCTCTATGAAACGTGAGTGATGCACTGGACATCTGGGAGCAAGGGCTGCTCAGGTTCTCCTCCTCTTCTGCAAATCACCTTTGCTATTATTGACGGACGGGGTTGTGAATGCCACTGAATTAGCATGAAAAGGGGAAGAAAGCAGTAAATATCCACCAGCACAGACACAACGGCTGTCCCCACTTCCCTGCCCGGGCTCAGGACACACTGAGCACCCCGAGGAGAAGGAGGTGGCAGGGATGCTGGCGAGTGTCGTGCACCCACGGGCAGGCAGTGCCGGCGCACATCCCTGCCGCTCGCTCTGCACCCCAGAAATCATTTCCAGACTTTAAAAAAAGGCCGGGGGAGAAAGAAGTCCTGCCTGTCCTTGCACCACGGGGAAAATCCTCCCCCAAAAGTCATGTTTTTAGTGCATTTTCTCCTCTTCCAGACGGGCTGATGGATGGGTTCTGTACACTCCACAGTCCTGTGCCAGCACGTCTCTCCCAGCAGCGACAAAGCAACACATGCTATGCTCTAGGTGCATTCGGGAAGCAGAAAATGGTGTTTCAAACAGGGGAACAAAAATCTGGCCTTGTTCTGCTTTTAAGTATATCCTCAGCGTGAGAAACCTCATTGGCTGCAAGGAGAGCATCCCCCAGCCACACCACCGGCACAGGCACCGCCACCAGCCCTGCCACTTCCCAGGATGCTTAAGCAGATTGAGGAGCCTGCCAGCAATTAATTTGCCTTTAAAAAGTTGGGGGGAAAAGGGCTGCAGCATTTTATGGATAGGAATAAGCAAAGAGGCTGTTGGAGCCGCTTGACACAGCTGGCTGGGGATGCGGCAGAGCGATGGGAGCATGGGTTTCCCTGCCTGGTTTTGGCATCTGGGGGAGCCGGGATGCTTTCTCCTCCCCTCCTGCTTGCGATGGGGATGGGGGTCTCTGCGTGGCCTCGGGGACACGCTGCAGCCACCGGCGGTGGCACGGGCATGTGGCAGGGCTGCGGCGGCCCGGTGTTGGCCGCGGCGGTGGGAGCTGGGTACCACGGCCTGCCAGCACCGAGGGCTGGCACCTGGAGCTGGGCATCACCCCCCGCCCGCGTCTCACCTGGCAGAATGGGGTAAAACGTGCCCCCTCCAGAAGCCACCGCGGGGTATTTCTGCAAAACCAAAGCGGGGGACAAGTCTGCTGCTGTGGGGCACCGGGACCCGATGGGTGATGCCACCAGCAGCCACGGCGGGAGAGCCCGGCCCCACGGAGGAACCGGCTGCAGCTCCATCGAACGCGGTCCAGGAGCTGCAAGCAGGACAGATCCTGCTCCTGTCCACACGCACAGTCCTGCTGACAACGTGGCTCTGCTGATGTCCTGCCACCCCACCTAAAGCTCCTTATTGCTTTTCTAGAACGCACCAAAAAAATACAAGTAATTCCCCCTGTCTGTACTTGCTCCTGCCAGCAGCACTCCAGAACCTGAAAATTATATCCAGGAGAGTGAGAACCAAGCGGCACCTCCAAACCCACAGAAAGCCCAGCCCAAGCCGCTCCTCATGGCCATTTTACACATAAAGACTGAAAAATAACATCATCCTACTCCACTGACATCTCAATTGCATTACAGCTCCGTGCTGCTAATGCCACTGGGAAAAATCCCATTATATCCATTATGTTTCTAAAGTCTTAGCCTAAAGTTAATACGGTTTTACAGGAGCTTATATGGTTTTATGAGCCATCCTGCAAACCTGCAGCAGGCGATGCCTGGCGGCAAAACACCGGCACACATGTCCTGTCAGGGGAGACTCCTCTGCACACCCTGGGCTCTGTCCTGCCTGGGGGGTATTTTTTGGGTGCTGAGCCCTTGCTGGCACTCAGAGATGCTCAAGGAGACCCCAGGGCCCCAGTGCCACCTCTCTGGTATCCAGGGATTTCCCAAGGGCACTCAGTGGGGATGAAAAAATAATATCCTGCTGCCTCCTCTGGGGGTGGGACGGCAGCATCTCTGAGTCAAAGCACCTTCAGCGGGCTCAGCCCTGAGCATCTCCCCTCAGCCCATCCTCTTCAACAAACCTTTTTGGTCTGTGCTTTCTTCTCCCTCTTCATACCGTGCTCCAGTCAGCATCCCACCCGAGGAGGGGTGTGGGTCCCCGCGCCTCCCCCCTCGCCTTGGCTCCCCATCCCGGGGGGAGAACCACCCACCGAAACCCCCGGGATTCCGGAGCCCCAGCTCTTGGTTTGCTCTCAAGCGCTTAGTGGGACCACGTGGGACTTTGGAGCCCAAACCACAGTGGTGCTTCTGAAACCACAACCCCACAGAAACCCACTAACAGCACCAAGAGGAACCAGTTTGGATGTGACCAATGCTGGGAAATGTGTCTGGCTCCAGCAGAGATGCTCTCCCTGTTCCATCCTGGCACCTTGTTCTTAGGCAAGGAATACCCCAGCCCTTCCAGGCACACCCCGGCCCATCCCCAGCACCTCAAAGCCCTGCCAGGCATGCCCTAGTCCATCCCTAGCACCCCGCAGTTCCTCCCCAGCACCCCCCTAGTCCATCCCCATCATTCTCCAGCCCTTTCTGGCATCCCCCCAGCCCCTCCTGGCACCCCCCAGCTCCTCCCCAGCCCCCTCCTTACCCTGTTGCTGGCCCCATACAAGCAGCCAGAGCTGTGGGGGTTGCAGCCTCTGCCGTAGCGGTAACAGCCACCCTGAGCCCAGGGGACCCCCGGGACCCTCTCCCTGCCCGTGCTGCTCCAGCCACGTGTGGGAGGCAGCTGAGCTCCTGCCTGCACAAACCCGTCTCCCTCTCAAATCGCCTCCTCTTCCTCACGCCCTGGCAGGGTTCGGGGCCCATCTGTGCTTACCCCACCACCCCGGACCCACGAACGATGCTCAAGCATCTGACCCGTGCAGCAGAGCCCTGGGAAGGGGCTATCCTGTGGCTGGAGCATCCCATGGCGCAACCATGAGAGCAGGCAACTGGTGGCACCAGCAAAACATCTCCTCTACGCACCAGTTTAAGCCGGCATCAGCTTTGGGCAATTCCTTTCACCTGTTCATTTTTCCATGGGTATTTCCATCCCCATGTCTCACGGGGGGATGCAGCCAGGGCTCCCGCGCTGGGATACGACCTCCCCTGGGGAACCAGAGACGGTGGTGTTTGCTTGATTGATGTCGATTTTTTGCTTGTGCAAGGTGACCTCAGCAAACAACAGCACCCAAAAGAGGGGTGCGGGGACACCCCAATTTCCCTGTCTGGTTCCCAATCCCCCAAAACTATATGCCTTACGGGTTACACGCATCCTGCAGGAGCAACCCTTGGAGAGGCAGCCAGGATTACTGGCTTTCAACACTTTCTTTCATCTTTCCTTTAGGTAAATAAAGCCCACTCCTTCCTTTCCCCTCCAGATTTCCAGCCCAGAGCTGTTTTTCTCAGCACAAAACCAGGCACTCCTCAGCCTCAGTCAGCACCCAGACACCCACGTCCCTGCAAACAGCTGGGAGAAAAGGGACAATTAATACGGAGAGTTAAAAGCAAACAAGAGGGGGATGCAGCTACAATTTGGTCAGGCATTCGCTTCTGCGAAAACTAATTGCTGCCAGCAGAAATCAACACCAATCAACCAAATTAAGTTGATTTCCAAATAAATACTACATGAGCTTCCAGTGCCTTGACCTGGGGAGCTGCAGCAAAGCCGATGCTTTCCTGGAGCAGCTCCTGATGCCAGACATCTCTGTTTGATGGGACCATCTACCACCGTCCCCCTCTGACGCTCAAACCACCCAAGACAAGGAACCCCAAGCCTTGGATTTGACCCCGAGCCAGCAAAATTCAAAGCACAACAGGGATTTCACAGCAGTATTGTCTCTGAGTGGGCACACCAGCACGCCCGGCTGGCGGGCAGCGCTTCACCTGGCGCGGGGACAGGCAGGTGTGAGGATGTGTCTCCAGAGGCAGAGTGTGTCCACGATGCCCCTCGGACCCCTTGTCCACACCTCCCGCCCAAAATACCCCTGTCACCCCCAGCCCTGCCCATCCCCTCGCTGCGAGTATGCCCATAAATATTTCATTGCTATTTAATTACTGATGCTGGCCGGTTCCCCTGATTTCTGCTTGCTCCAGGCTAAAAATAGCCTCGCAGATGAGTGCAGGCAGAGGGAGGCACAAAAACCCAGTTAACTCCCACCGACGGGTCTGCCCCGCCGTCCTGTGTGGGCTCGGGGTCGGTGCCCAGCTCCATCCCAGCCCTGCCCACCATCTCCCACCGCTGCCGCCGCACGTGCCTGGGGGCTGGTACCCACAGGAAAACTCAAGGTCCCCGGAGCCCCCAAAAGCTCGGAGGTGAACTTGGTGAGGTGAGGTTCAACCATGCAACTGGGATCAGGAGCTGCGCATCCGTCGCGTGTGCCGGAGGGAGGAGAAAGCCCCTCGGGTCTCATCCAGACAACCCCTGGAAGCGCTGGGCGCTGTGGTCCCGGCGGGATGCTGGCCCGAGGACCGCGCCGTCCCCCGCCCCTGCTGCCGTCCGAGCTCTCCTTGCCACCGCATCCCCGGGGACACGCAGCCCGGCGGCTTGTCACCAGGATCCAGCTGAGGCCAAACAGAGCTGCAGCTTTATCCTGATGCCTTTTCAGC